AGACGGGGCTTTAAAAAAAGTTTGTGTATGTGGTGGGAAAAGGGTGTTTATTTTTTTTTTTTAAAGAGATGTCCTTGAGTTTCTCCACACCAAACTCATCAAAACATCATACGAGAACAGAAAAGGGCATTCTTTTGTGTCATATCTGTTCATACTGGTGAGAGATGTCTACATATTGTGAGGATCTATAAGAATCTGCTGAAAGAGTTTGTTTTGGATGTTTTAAGCTTGTGACCTTCTTTATTATCCCGAAGGGGTTGGTGCTGGATTATACACTGAGATGGAGGAAACACTTGTGAGATCATATGATGTTTTTACACTCAACTTTATGGGCAGCACAGTGGCTAAAAGGCACTTCCGCCTGGCAGTACTAGGTTCATTGGTTCGAATCCAAACCATGGCACCACCTGCATGGAGCTTTCATTTTCTCCCTGTGCCTGAGTGGGTTTCCTCCGGGTACTCCGTTTCCTTCCACATTCCAAAGACATGCTGGTAGGTTAATTGGATCCTGTCTAAATTGGCCCTAGTATATGTATGTATGAATGTGAGTTAGGGACCTTAGATTGTACACCCCTTGAGGATTAGGGACTGATGTGAATGTACAATATATATGTGAAGCACTGCATAAAATTGACAGTGCTATATATTTACTTGAAATAAACAAATAAATAAACTTAAAGACTATTCTGACACAACACGGGTGGAATTACTAAAGGAAAGCAGACTGTGCACCTTGAAAATGGAGTTACACTTATTTTCCCTAGACCTTAGTTAATTTGGTAAGGCTCTGATGATTTCCATCATCCAATCATGTGCAAGCAAAACTGCAGTTTTTTTCTCTTTGCATCTGATTGTATATTCTTTACAAAGTGATGCTTTACCACATTTATATTTGCAACTGCACTTGCAAAATGCACAGTGTGCCTTTGGTAAATCCACACCACAGAGTTGTATAGTCAAATGCAATGTATGTAAATCAATCAGCAAGTGAAAGTTTATTTACTACCCAGCTGAATGGTCTTCAGTCCACCTCTGGTCATGACATCACATTGTACATGCAAGAATTTACAAGCCAATTTAAATACTAATTCACAAAAAAAGGTTTTGGTATTCACTGATTGATGTATTCGAATATTGTTATGTAATTGGGAGAGATTAGGGTTTTGCAAAGCACTGCACTTACATTTGTATAAGCTACAACAACTTTTCTTTTCTTTTTCTTAAAACAAAAATCCACCAAAATCAAAAGACCTATTTTTTAAAAGTAAAATTATGTGAAAATGTCAAATGTAAAGCAATCCAGGCAGAATAAAATACACAAATTAATGAAGCTCTGTATTCAGTAATAAATCATTTATTAATCTATTTTTTAAATGCAAGCAGTGCAAGTATCTGAATTTGTCTTGATATCGGCCTTGCAATCCCTGTGCAGAAGATTTCAGACTGCGAGTGGGAGAAGTGTGCTGCATGCAAATGTGGGCACAAGAAACCTGCTTTCTGACAGATGGAAACAAATGTATTAAAAAAATTGCATTTTGGTAACTTTTCACTTACCGGTTTGAACTAAACGTTTTTCGCTTTTTTTTTTTTTTTTTACATACTGTGTTTCTAGCATTGTACTTTTTTCTCTGTGCACAAAAAGAGGGAAGCATTGTGCTATGTGTAAGCTGGAGAAGATTGTTTAAAACCAACTTCCATATAATCACCATTATTTGGCTGTCATGGTGATCAAATGGTCATAAGCCACAAAGTTTGTCACTGCACTTATTTATTTTTTATTAATTACAGGTACTTAGATAGCACTGTCAAATAAATTACATTTATGTTGTACATTCACATCATTCTTTGCCCTCAAGGAACTTAGAATCAAAGGTCCCTAACTAGCATTCAAATGTGCACATACTAGGGCCAATTTAGATAGGAGCCAGTTAACCTACCAGCATGCCTTTGGAGTGTGAAAGGAAACTGGAGTACCTGGAGGAAACCAACGCAGGCACAGGGAGAACATGCCATGTACAGGTAGTGCCATGGTTGATGTTTTAACCAATGACTAGTGCTGCTAGGCAGACGTGCCAACCACTTAGTCAATGTGCTGCACGTTTTCATCTGTCTTTTTTTTTTTACCCACTGGATTGTAGGGTGTTGTTTTCCTGCCTACCCTGAAGTTTAGGGAGAGGATGAGTGGCCCCCAGGTTCCGTCTTCCCCTGCCTGAGTGTTTGTCTTCAGGTGAACCCCCTAAACCTAGTACTCAGTGGTTGGCTTTGGCTAGCCATGAGAAGAGGGGTCCACCAAGCCATTTCTCTAAGTGGACCAGAGTGCCTTGCCACATTAGGAGTCTTGTGTACTGGGGGCTAGGGAGGTCCTTCCACCTTGGGAGGGAACCAGTTGCATACCCTATCCAATTTTTTGCGCATGTTCATTTATTTATTTATTTATATTTGTGCACCACACTGCATGCAGGGGAAAAAAGGAAAAACATTTGTTGGTTCCTGTATATTAGTCTGCTATCTGCACTTGTCAGTGAGGGGTGCGTGTGTGGAAGGTATATTAATGCTCTCTTAGCACAGGGAACCGAGTCTGATTTTTTTCACCAAGTGGTTTAGCTTCAAAGTGCATTGCAGGAACATAGCCTACCCACCTTGGGCTGCTGCTTTTCATCTTTGCATGTATAACATGCAAGCAGACTACCCTTTAGTAAAATTTCTCTTCATTGTTCTAAAAATGTGCTGTCCATGTATTCTTCCACCCACTGCAGACTATACATTACAGGAATGTATTCCTGATTATGTGACATAATGAGGCTTTTTGGGCTTATTCAGTATGGCATTGTAGAGAGCAATGATGGCATACATATGTAGGCCTCCACAGCCAGCCATTTCCTGATTGGATATTATAATTACAGTATATGTACAGTGAACATTGTTCTGTATAGAGCTAGGCTGAGTATGTATGTGCTGCATGTTTTTCTGTATCACTAATTTCAGTTATTCTTGATTGGTCAGAATTACAAATAATAATTATATAACAACAATACTACCTAAAAACAACTAACATGTACAGATTTCAAGCCTTTGATTAATTAAAAAACTGGAAAAAAAAAAAAAAAATCGGTTTTAATTGTACAAGTCGCACTTTTACAGAGACCAGGTACTGGGTCTCCTACCAGTTGTGGGCAGATGGACCTACACTACTGCATTTTACGATGGCTCATTTACCCGGCATTTTGAAATCTTTAATGGGCACAGCTGGCAGCAGAGCGCAGGTTTGATACGAACAGTTTAGACGTCTTTAGATGTAGCAGATGGAAAATTTTACACAAATAAAGTAGGAGAAAGTGTGCAATTAGTTTCTTTTTCTTTATCTGCAGTTCCCGCTGCATCCTGGGTTTTAGCTGAGAACATCACCGTAGTGGGTGGCCTCTCGCCATTCCTTTTTGCCACCTATCTAAACTTTCTGCTAGATACCTTCCTTACATGAAAAGTTTTTTTTGTTTATGCAGAACAATCTTAACAGGGGCAGGATGCCAATGGAGTGGAACAGTTTCTGGCAAAACATTACGTTGCTCTTTTGCTTATGCTTAAGCAGACTTTGTAAGGTCCACTCATCTTATGGTCCCCCATGTAAAACACACACTTAAAAGAAAATAAAAAAAGTAGTAAAATTTACTTCCCTTCAGCTTCAGGCAAGGGTGATGTTACTGGGCCATTTCTTGGTATCATGAGATTGCTGAGGGTGAGTGCCTTTTTTGATTTATAAAGCTCATTCATATTTTCCCTATCACCATCCTTGTCTTAAAATTTAACCCAAACTGTCCTCTCCACTTCTTTTAAGACTTCCTGCTCTCTAGCTCCCATGTCACCTCATCTCATGCTCACCTTCAGAACTTCATTCAAGCCTCTCCCATTTATTGGAACTCCCTACCCCAATTTGGCCAGTTATCTCTAACTCAACTCTTCAGGGGAGACTATTCTGCCTCTACTTAAAGTGTATGTTAAACCAACACTTTTATATTTCTGATATGTCTGTGTTGCCATGTACTTGTATGAAAAAAGTATCCTGTTCTCTTTTTACCTGGTGATCCTGTTAGTTCCCCTGCTTTCCAATTTCAAACTCACCATGCCAAGGCATGGAGGAACATCCATCCCAGTGTGATCTGCTTGCTTCTTTGCATTCTACTTGGGAGATACAGGATAAAGTGGACATGTACATCGGGCCTGTACTCCCATGGTCAGACATCTGCTGACATGCACCTCTTCACAGCTCTTCACTAGGAGGATCAGTGTATTGCTGTTTCCCTGCCTCCTGCTGACGCATCCTCTTGCATAGCTCATCACAGTGTATTTACTCTGTATTTTATACAAGATTATGCCTGTGCTCTGGTTGGACTGTTGCTGCCACCCCCCCCCCCTTCATCACAAGGAGTGTAAGTGTCACGACCTATGGTAGTGAGCTCTCTAAATCCACAGGTTCCCCAGAGCGCGGAATCTAAGCCCCAGCCTGCTTGTTCACCAGGGCTCCCGATGGTGGGGAAGGACTTGCTGCATTTTGGGACCAGGTCGCGGCCCCGGTACACCCAGCTGAAGTGGAGAAGACCGCTAGCGGGAGCAGGGTGAAAGGTAGAAGACACAGGGAATCCAATGGGTAAGCCGTGGTCAGGACAGGTGGAAAACTAGCAAGGTCAGGAACGAAGCCAGGGTCGGTACACAGATAGACAATACAGGATTCACAGCGGGAACACGGGAGCTCCAACAACACGAAGTTGCTCAGGCAAAGTGGGACAGACTGAGCATGTCTTAAATAGACAAGCCAGCTAGGAGGAGGCCCAGGAAGTGATGAAAGGGAAGGTCATAAAACCCAGGGAATAGCAGACGACACCCACAAGTGAACACAGACAAACACACATGTGAAGGAATCAAGAGCAGCAACGAGGTAAGAAACACACAAAAGGCTGCAAGTTAACTTGTGACAGTACCCCCCCCCCCCCCTTACAAGGTCTCCCCACTTTTTTAGGGCCAGGCTTAGGGGGAAACCTCTGATGAAAAAAATTCCACCAGACGGGGTGCAGAAACATCAGTAGAAGGAATCCAACACCTCTCCTCAGGACCATATCCCTTCCAGTCAGTTAGATACAAGAGCCTCCCTCTGATGAATTTAGAATCCAAGATTTGCTTGACTTCATACTGATCTGAAGTACTCGTATTGGGGAAGAATGATGATGAGGACGGGAAAACCTGTTGATGATATACGGCTCAGAAGAGAAACATGGAAAACATTATGGATTCTCAGATGTGAAAAAAGGCGGAGTTTGAAAGCAACAGGATTGACCTGGTGAAGGATGGTAAGGGGACCCTTGAACCGAGGAGAACATTTCATAAAGGGTACCCGTAGACAGATACTCTTGGTAGAGAGCCAAACTTTGTCACCCGGGAAATATTTGGGACTCACCCGGTGATGACAATCTGCAGTTACTTTGTACTTAGAATCTGACAGATGTAAGCTCTTGGAAACATTTGCCTCAGAAGGAGTAAGAATAGGAGAACATACGACAGGAAACTGGGTTGGAGCAAACACCAATAACCAGGATGAAGGGCCTGGTGAGGAGGCTGCCAGGGAGGGCACAGTAGGGTGTATGGGGGCATGACAGGGGACAGAGGGTACAGTAGCTACTAATATGGAAACCACGGCTGGGTCCAAAGCAGCTGAAGGGAGTTTTGGGGTCTCAGCATGCACAGCACATGAATCTGGTAACTCAAATGGTACAGAGGTCACAGATGTTGGGACCTCCACCAACCCAGAAGGTAGCGACATAGGAGCTCTGAGCTACAACATATGTATATGTAAAGGGACCAAAGATTTGGGCAGCAAAGAGGGTAAAGAACTAGAGGTGGCACAGGAAGTGGTGAAAGGGAAGGACATAAAACCCAGGGAATAGCAGATGACGCCCACAAGTGAACACAGACAAACACACATGTGAAGGAATCAAGAGCAGCAAGGAGGTAAGAATAAACACACAAAAGGCTGCAAGCTAACTTGTGACAGTAAGCACCTTATGCTGCTGAGAACAATGGCCACATTATCACTTATTTAAAAAAAAGTATATATATATCATCCATAACAATGTAATGACCCATCCAATATTGAGTAGACCTCTGAAGCTATGCTGTGGTATCTGGCACCAAGCCATCAGTAGCAGATCCGTTAAGTCCTGTAAGTCATGATGTGGGACCATGGGTTGTTTTCCTAGCATATCCCACAGATGCTTAGTGAATTGAGATCTGGAGAGTAAGGAGGCAAAGTCAGCACCAGAAACTTGATGTTGTTTTTCTCAAACCATTCCTACAGTATGGCAGGGTGCATTATCCTGCCAGTGTAGGGATGTACTTGGTCAACTACAATGTATAGGTAGTTGGTATTTGTCAAGTAACATCCACATGAATGGCATGACCAAGGTTTCCCAGCAGAATATTGCCCAAAGCATCACACTGCCTTCACTAGCTTGCCTTCTTTTTATACTGCATCCTGGTGCCATCTCTTCCCCAGGTAACTGATGCACACACACTCGGCCATCCACATCATGTAAAAGAAAACACGATTCAATAGACCAGGTCACCTTCTTGCATTTTTCCCTGGTCCAGTTCTGATCCTCACATTCCCGTTATACAAGTTATGGCCAAAAATATTGGCACCGTTGTATTTTTGTCAGATAATGCACCAGAAAATTGTTGAAATTACTAATGTTTAGGCTTTCTAATGTTTATTTCTTTTGTTTGTTTTGGTATGACACAAAAAGTGGAGAAACAGAAAGCCAAATCTGACACAATCCACGCAAAACCACAGAAATGGACTGGACAGAATCATTGTCACCCTCAATTTAATATTTGGTAGCACACCCTTTGGAAAAAACTTAAATCACTCGCTTCCTGTAATTATCAGTGAGTTTCTGACACCTCTCTACTAGAATTTTGGACCACTCTTCTTTCGCCACCTGCTCTAGCTCTGTCAGATTGGAAGGGTTCCTTTTCCCAACTGCTGTATCACAGATTTGCAAGGCTGCCACCTGGTCCTCTGTTCACACGTTCTCTCAGTCTAGCCAGGTGGATGTACAAGTCCCAGCTGATGCAAGCTTCATTCAGAAGGTGCTTCAAGCTGTTATCTGAATATTTTCTTTGGGTTATTTAAACCCTTGTGTTTCTTGTGGGCCTGTTGGCAACTCTAGGTTGCTATCTTTTTTGCCCACCTCTTGCTTGGGTATGGTCCATTGTTCGAGAATACCAGTCTTGTACTGAATGATTGAGATAATAGGAGTTTTGACTTACCTGCAAATTTCTTATCTTGGAGTACAGTACAGGACACAGGTCCCTCCCATAGGTGTCTTAATCACTCTTTTTTGCTAAAAAAATGTATCCTCAGACAGTGGACAGTATCATATAGGTAAGCTGTTGGGGTGGCTTTAGTAAGTTTTTACCAGTGTCTATTCACCTGAAGATAACCGCATATAACCCATGGTCTTAAAGCGGAGTTCCACCTGAAAAAAAAAAAAGGTCAGCAACTACAAAAACTGTAGCTGCTGACTTTTAAAATACAGCCACTTACCTGTCCTTTGGTCCAGCGGTGTCCTCAACTTTCGCTTCTGATTACCTTAGACGATCGCAGTGGGAGCAGGTACCTGTCAAATTCAGGTACCCACTCCCCGCTCCCCAAAGGTGCCAATTGGGGAGTGGGGGACAAAGACTTAAAGCAGATTGTCCCCTTTTGGTTGGAGCTCAGCTTTAAGAATACCAGTCCTAATTTACAGGTAATGCACAATTCCTATTCTTGGGCACAAGTAAGGTAAACATTTTCTTATTTGGGTAAAAACCTTTATGAAACCCTGATGTAAAAGTTTCCAAAGTGTATCAGAACAGATATGTGTGGTAACCCAGAAGTGGTTATAGGTAGGGCTTGATAGGCTTTGTGACCCATTGGCTTTTTGTATCTCTCTAAAACACTGTTGATTGGGACTGGGGCTTCTACCCTTGCTGCACTTTGGGGTGTTCAAACTGTTGCATTTTTCATAAAAGGTAATAAAAGACCAATATGGTGATAGGACCTCTTATAACGGGTTACGGCAGGTGCTCAGACCTGGGAACCAAAGTGTGGAGATGACTTCAGCAGAGCTTTTAATAGGAAACTGACAGGTAGTGTAACCCTCCAGCATTTGTTTATCCACCTAAATAGTATTCAGGTGCACTGATCCTTTAAAAGTAAGGTGGTATTGTATGGAACACTTTATTAAAGCATACAGTTCAGTAAAAGTAGAAAACTACAAAATGCCAATTACTGAAACTTTTTGTAAAGAATTAGGTCCAACGTCAAACATCTTGTAATTTTTTGGTTAACTTAGTTGTGAATATTTATTTATTTATTTATCGTGTTTATATAGCGCCAAAGAGTTTGCTCAGCGCTGTACAATGGGGGGGGACAATACATGAAAAACAGAACAGTAACATCAAACAGTACACAAGGGGTTAGAGGGCCCTACTCTTTCGAGCTTACAATCTAGGAGGGAGGGGGTAGAGGCACCGGAGGAAGCGGCTGTGGGGGATGAAGTGGTAGGAGGAGGGAAGGGCAGCGGCTGTTAGGTGAGGGTGGGGTAGGCTTCCCTGAAGAGGTGGGTTTTCAGGGAGCGCCTGAAGGTGAGGAGGGACGGTGACAGTCTGATGGATTGGGGTAGTGAGTTCCAGAGGATGGGGGAGGACCTGGAGAAGTCTTGCAGTCGTGCGTGGGAGGAGGAGACCAGGGAGCAAGATAGAAGAAGGTCCTGTGAAGAGCGAAGGGTACGGGTAGGGTGGTACCTGGGGATCAGATCGGTGAGGTAGTTAGGGGCAGTGTTGTGAATGGCCTTATAGGTCAGGGTGAGCAATTTGAATTTAATGCGTTGGGCAATGGGGAGCCAGTGGAGGGAGAGGCAGAGGGGGGTGGCAGAGGTGGAGCGGCTGGTGAGGTGGATGAGTCTGGCCGCTGAGTTCAGGATGGTCTGAAGCGGGGAGAGCCTGCACTGGGGTAGGCCGGTGAGGAGGGAGTTGCAGTAGTCCAGGCGTGAGATAATCAGGGAGTGTACTAGTAGATTAGTGGTGTCTGGGGTAAGGAAGGAACGTATCCTGGCGATGTTCCGGAGGTGGAGCCTGCATGTGTTTTTGTGAGAGATTTGATATGAGGTTGAAAGGAAAGGTTTGAGTCCAGAATGACGCCAAGGACCTTGGCTTGCTGGGCGGGATTGATGGTGGTGTTGTTGGTAGTGATGGAAAGGATGGGGGGGGGGGGGGCGCGGGCTGGGGGGAAGATGAGAAGCTCGGTTTTGGAGAGGTTGAGTTTGAGGAAGTTGAGCGACATCCAGTCAGAGATGTCGTTTAGGAGGTGAGTGATGCGGGCGGAGAATGAGGGGGTGAGGTGAGGGGTGGATAGGTAGATTTGAGTATCATCAGCATAGAGGTGGTAATTGAAGCCGTGGGAGTGTATGAGTTTGCCAAGGGAGGAGGTGTAGATGGAGAAGAGAAGGGGTCCAAGGACAGAGCCCTGGGGGACCCCAACAGAGAGGGGGAGAGAAGGGGAGGTGGCACCATTGTAGGTGACACTGAAGGAGCGTTGGGATAGATAGGACGAGAACCAGGAGAGAGCGGTGTCTCTGATGTCAAGGGAGAGTAGTTTATTAAGGAGGAAGGGGTGGTCGACTGTGTCAAAGGCCGCAGAGAGGTCTAGGAGGAGGAGGACAGAGTAGTCGCCTTTGGCTTTGGCGGTTAGTAGATCGTTGGTGATTTTGAGGAGGGCAGTTTCGGTGGAGTGTAGGGGACGGAAGCCGGACTGTAGTGGGTCAAGGAGGTTGTTGTCATCTAGGTGGGCGCTTAGGCGATCGAAGACCAAGCGCTCAAGGAGCTTGGAAGTGAGTGGCAGCAGGGAAATTGGTCTGAGGTTGTTGAGGTCAGTGGGGTCCAGAGAGGGCTTTTTGAGTATGGGGGTGATGTGCGCATGTTTTAGGGGGGAGGGGAATACGCCAGTAGAGAGGGAGAGATTAAAGATGTGGGTAAGGGAGCGGATGAGGGAAGAGGGGGGTGACCGGAGGAGTTGAGAGGGGATAGGGTCCAGGGGGCAGGTAGTGAGACGGGCTTCTGAGAAGACTCTGCTGACTTCCTCAGTGGTATTAGGGCTGAAGGAGTGCAGTGATGGGGGGGTTACGGTAGGCAGGCCTTGGGTGTGGTGGGGGGCAGTGCCGTTGCGAGGTCAGAGGAGGGGAGAGATGAGGGGGTGATAGAAGGGGGGAGGCTAGATGGGGAGGTAGATTTGCAAGTTGACTATGTCCTTGCGGATAGCGTCAATCTTGCTGTGGAGGTGAGTGGCAATCTCGTGGGCGGTAAGTGAGGTACTGAGTGGAGGAAGGGGGGGGGAGAGAGCAGGGAGTTGAAGGTGGAGAAGAGTCGGCGAGGGCAGGTGGAGAGGGTGTTAATCAGGTTAACAAAGTAGGCCTGCTTGGCGGCGTGGAGGGAGGAGGTGTAGGTGAGGAAGGCAGATTTGTAGAGGGAGAATGTATGAGGGGACCTGGTTTTGCGCCATAGTCTCTCCAGCGCACGACTGCGGCGTTTGAGGCGTTTAGTGTGGTCGTTCTGCCAGGGTTGGAGTGGTCTGGGTTTGATGTTGCGTGTGGTTAGGGGTGCCAGAGAGTCTAGTGTAGCTGATAGTGAGTCGTTGTACGTGGAGGTGGCTAGGTCAGGACATGACAGTGGAAGGATGCTGTCGTGTAGGCGGTCGGCAGCCGAGTGGAGGGGGGCCGGGTGCAGGTTGCGGAGGTTGCGGCTGGTGATGGTTTGGCGCACTGGGGGGGGGGGGGAGTTGGGGGAAGGGGAGGTGGAGAACGTGAGGAGGTGGTGGTCGGAGAGAGGGAAGGGTGTGTTAGAGAACTGGTT